ACATGGGAAGCAAGGACACACACGCACACGACAAACACATTCACACACATTGCGTACACACACACACCTAAAACTCACACCGTGTCCAAACTAAATCTCATATCAAACTCAATGTAAAACAGAAGTTTTATTTTACCCTCTTGATAACGCAGACGAAAATGTGCCCCCGCTGTGATAAAAATAAAAATCTTAATAACACGCAATGTAAGAAGAACTTTGCCAATCCACTGCTGGATGAAGGACATCCAAATGCCACGTCAATCATTGTCGGATGATCGTTTGACAACACAGCAATGGTTCAGGTCGTGGGTAGTTCATTCAATGCGAGTTGATGTGACCACAGGGGAAGTAGAGAGGGTTCCGGATATCACCGGCCACTGATGATGATGATGTTGGCTGTGACTCTAACCAAGATCACACAAACACACACATCTCGGGCAACCAGGTTATGATTGCTTTGCTTGTGAATGTGGAAATGAGTGGGACTTTGTTGGTAAGAGCGGTTCACCAAATGCACAAACCACACACACACAACAACACACTGGCAGAGAGACGTGAGATCAAATCTTCATGGAGGGCCCTGCACCCGGGAATAAAAATAATAACTGCACAGTTATTACAACATGATTAAGATTCACACATATATATACCACGTACAGTGTACACATGTGCTTGCGAACTGTGCAATATCGAGGGAAGATGACTTAATATTCATTTGAAGTGTGTGTGTGTTGATGGGTGCTTACCAACTCTTGCCCCGGCAATCATCCTAACTTACACACGAGTCTTTTGATCTTATGTTGAGCTTATGTTTGCTAAGTCAGTGGGTACACGGTGTGTTTAATAATAATACTGACACTATACACAGTACTCTGCTGCTGTAACACTGACGCTCTAACAGCATTGTGAGTCTATGATGTGGTGGGATTAAACACAGCACAGGATTACATTTTGATTTAAAGCTTTCGTAACTGCAGGGATTCATATTCTTGGTTCTTTCGGTAAAGTCACGTAGAAGGGAAATAATAAAAATATAAAACAATACAATTCTCATGACGTCTCGACTGCAACACAAGCAATCATCATCAGGTGTGAAATCCACAGCAAGAAACATTTTTTTCCCCAAATTTTCTTGCTGTGGATTTCACACCTGATAATGATTGCTTGTGTTGCAGTCGAAACGTCGTGAGAATTGTATTGTTTTATATTTTTATTATTTTATTATTTCCCTTCTAGCACAGACTCACTGTGTAACTTTGACACTCACTGTTGCGACATCACCAATGTCTCGTGTTAAATTAACAAGGAGATGGAGCATACGTGTCCCTTTAACACACGCAGTAATGCCATAGGGTAGCACCATAACAATGATTGCAATAGTAGTAATAACTTTATAATTAAAAACAAAACATTACCACACCCCAAGTGGTGGTTGTACGTCACTGCCAAAGTATTTTTTCGGTTGTTGTCATGTCCATTCGTACGTTATGCACACACACACACAAGTGATCATTTACACTGCAGGGTTTTACTTTATAGAGCACACAACACGGCAGTGGCTGCACATGCAAGCGGGCACGTGTGGATAACATTAACATCGTCGTGATTCTCTGCCGTGTCCTATCCACTGCTGGATGAGGCTTATTATCAAGAAGCTACACGTGGATTTACCGCAATGCATTACATTAAGAATTCACAAGGTGTTGGTGGGTCCACCCGTATATATAATATGTATCCCTGTGTGTCTGCTACTCTCTGCACATTATCTATGAACGAACTGTGAGTAATATTCATAGCGACAATGGTGTATACCGATCTATGTGCACAATACTGCTCAAATAATAATAATAGTCTTCTAATAGTGTCACCCGCATGGACCATGGAAGGGATTTATCCGGGGGGTACCCAAAATCAGAAATGTCAAGTTCAGGGACACGCCGGACTGTGAGATCCTTCAAAAAAGACACCGCGAAAAGTGACACCAACAGAGGAATATCCCCGGACCAAGAGACCCCAAAAAGGGACCCCCCTCAATGGCAACATTGAATAGAAAGGGGGCCCAAAGTAAAATACCCCCCCCCCCCATTGTATTTTTTACTTTACTTAAAAAAATCGACCAAAGAAAACACACACAGAGAGAGACATTGCCGGTCAAAGCGAAGACTCTGAGACTCATGAGAGATAGAGAGAGAGAGACATTGACCCATGTCTGGCTGACGACTCAGACAATGGGGGATGATCTCGGAAGGAAAAGGGGATAGGGGGACCCCCCCCCCCAAGGTGACCCCCCACAAGTGGAGCATACAACACCGCAACGACTACTCGAGACCACAACTGGAGTGGATGACCTAGCTACTAATAAAATACAATAAATACAATTTAAACGCCCACCCCATACGACCTTCTCAGCACCCAACGTCCTTGCCCGGTATATATATATTAGAAGAAACAAAACAAATAATAATAAAAAATATATTGCCAAACAACATACCTTAACTCGTGAGATGACCACCACCACCACTAAACCCAACCACGCACGGTTCTAGAACGGACGTGGAATCCAAGAGACTCGACTCGAGAAACAACAAAGAGAGCGACGATCCCAACCCAGCAAAGCAAGAGACGCGAGAACAATGGCGAGATAACAATGGCGAGAGAACAATGGGGAGAGAACAATGGGAGCAGAGCGGATGCGGTGTGGGGGTGGCTTGCTGGGGGAGAAGGATGGATAAGAGATGAGAAATATTACAAACAACAGCAGAGACAGACCCACGTGTCTCGTTGCTGCTGCTCCTGCTTCTGATGGTGGTGGTGGTGATGATGATCGTGATGATGATATGGAGTGGTGGTGGTGATGTGGAGTGGTGGTGGTGATGATGATGATGGGGAGTGGTGGTGGTGATGATGTGGAGTGGTGGTGATGATGATGATGTGGAGTGGTGGTGGTGATGATGATGATGATGGGGAGTGGTGGTGATGATGATGTGGAGTGGTGGTGGTGATGATGATGATGTGGAGTGGTGGTGGTGATGATGATGATGTGGAGTGGTGGTGGTGATGATGATGTGGAGTGGTGGTGATGATGATCGTGATGATGATGTGGAGTGGTGGTGGTGGTGATGATGATGTGGAGTGGTGGTGGTGATGATGATGATGGGGAGTGGTGGTGATGATGATGATGTGGAGTGGTGGTGGTGATGATGTTGATGGGGAGTGGTGATGGTGTTGATGGGGAGTGGTGATGGTGTTGATGGGGAGTGGTGATGGTGTTGATGATGATGTGGAGTGGTGGTGGTGGTGATGATGATGTGGAGTGGTGGTGGTGGTGATGATGATGTGGAGTGGTGGTGGTGATGGTGTTGATGGGGAGTGGTGATGATGTTGATGGGGAGTGGTGGTGATGATGATGATGATGTGGAGTGGTGGTGGTGGTGATGATGATGTGGAGTGGTGGTGGTGGTGGTGATGATGATGATGGGGAGTGGTGGTGATGATGATGATGGGGAGTGGTGGTGATGATGATGATGTGGAGTGGTGGTGGTGGTGATGATGATGTGGAGTGGTGGTGGTGGTGATGATGATGTGGAGTGGTGGTGGTGGTGATGATGATGTGGAGTGGTGGTGGTGATGATGATGATGGGGAGTGGTGATGATGTTGATGATGTGGAGTGGTGGTGATGATGATGATGATGATGTGGAGTGGTGGTGGTGGTGATGATGATGTGGAGTGGTGGTGGTGGTGATGATGATGATGGGGAGTGGTGGTGGTGGTGATGATGATGTGGAGTGGTGGTGATGATGATGATGTGGAGTGGTGGTGGTGATGATGATGATGGGGAGTGGTGATGATGATGATGTGGAGTGGTGGTGGTGATGATGGGGAGTGGTGGTGATGATGATGCGGAGGGGTGGTGATGATGATGATGATGTGGAGTGGTGGTGATGATGATGATGATGTGGAGTGGTGGTGGTGATGATGATGTGGAGTGGTGGTGGTGATGATGATGCGGAGTGGTGGTGATGATGATGGTGATGATGGGGAGTGATGATGATGGTTATGCTGATGGCGCAAAAAAAAAATCGAAGGTGGCACACGTTGCTGCCACCACACCGCCACTGGGGTGATGACGGTACCGTCTGGTGGTGGTTAGCGGGGCTGTCATGGGAATGATGATGGTGATGATTGGGATGATGATGATGGGGATGTTGATGATAGTGGTGGTGGGGTGGGGGGGTGATGTCAGTCGGTATTGACCGTGAGCTCTACGACCCAGCAGCAGTGCCGGGCAGCGTGGCTCCTTCACGGCCACGGCCACCATGTTACCAACAATCAACCATCATCGCCAGCAGCATCATCATCTCTCAATCATCTCTCTCAATCATCTCTCCCAATCATCAATGGATATGGGGGGGGGGGGGTCCCACCATCACTCTCAGAGCGATCCGCAGGAAGGACGAACACGAATCCTGCTTCTGTTGTCTGCCCCCTCCCCCCCCTCGGGGTTCTGTTTCACATCTCCCCGCCGCTCTCTCACATCGCCAGCGAAATAAAATAACAACAAACCCAGCGCCAAATGATGGTGGTGGTGATGGTGGTGATGTCGGGACCCTCCCCACCATCATCACCACCGCCTCCTTCTCCTGTCATCAACGGCGCGTCTCCATCCTCGTCCGCTCCATCTCATCATCCATGCCATCATCCCCCCCCTCCTCCATCCCATTATCATCATCCTTTCCATCCCATCATCATCACCACCATCATCACCATCATCATCATCACCCCCTCCATCCTCGTCCGTTCCATCCCATCATCATCACCATCATCATCATCCTCCATCCTCATCACCACCATCATCACCATCCCCTCTATCCCTCCCTCGCTCGCTCGCTCGCTCGCTCCGCCATGCCCCATGCCCCGGGGCCCGTGCCGCCACAACAACAACAACAACCACCACCACCAACAACAACAACCACCAACAACAACAACAACGCGGACCGACCTGCAGCCGCTGTAGATCAAATTTCTTCCAATATTGGAGCATCGATCCTTCTCTCTCCGCCATCTTGAGGGACACGGGACCGACGACGACGGTGATGGTGGTGGTGGTCGCTCTATCGCCCGAGCTGTGATGGTGATGATGGTGGTGATGGTGGTGGTGGTGATGATGGTGGTGGTGATGGTGGTGGTGCAGCAGCAGCAGCAGCCCGCCACGTTGTGCGCCGCGCACCGACTCGGCTCGCCCATTAAGAGACGTCAAACTTTGTTTTGTATCTTTCCCCTTCTCTCTCTCTCCTCTCTCTCTCGCCGTGTGTGTCTCTGTGTGTGTCGGTGTGCGGCTGTGTGTGTGTGTGTCCACTCTAGCTCATTATCTCTCTCTCTCTCCCTCGCCGTGTGTGCGTGTGTCGGTGTGCGTCTCTGTGTCTGTGTGTGTGTGCTGCTCCTCTCTATTCTCTCGCTCTCTCTCGCCGTGTGTGTCTGTCTGTGTGTCTGTCTCTGTGTCGGTGTGTGTGTCTGTGTCTCTAGCTCATTCTCTCTCGCTGCCTGTGTGTGCTGTGTTGTGTGTGCTGCTCCCGTTTCTTCTCTCGTTCTGTGTGTGTCTGTCTGTGTGTGTGCCTGAGTGCGTGCACTCTAGCTCATTATCTCTCTCTGTCTGTGTGTTGTGTGTGTGTGCTTCTCCTCCCCCTCTCTCTCTCTCTTGCTTCTCTCGCTGTGTGTGTGATTCTCCCTTTAGCTCTCCCGCCGCGTGTGTGTCTGTCTGTGTGTGTCTGTCTGTGTGTGTCTCTCTGTGTGTGTGTGTCTGTGTGTCTCTGTGTGTGTGTGTCTGTCTGTGTGTCTCTGTGTGTGTGTCTGTCTGTGTGTCTCTGTGGTGTGTGTGTGTCTGTGTGTGTCTGTGTGTCTCTGTGTGTGTGTCTGTCTGTGTGTGTCTCTGTGGTGTGTGTCTGTGTGTGTGTGTCTGTGTGTGTGTCTGCGCCTGTGTGTGTGTCGGTGTCTTTGTGCTCTATCTCATTCTCTCTCTCCACCCGTGTGTGTCTCTGTGTGTGTCTCTGTGTGTGTGTGTGTCTGCGCCTGTGTGTGTGTCTCGCTATCTCTCTGTGATTCTCCCTTTAGCTCTCTCACTCTGTGTGTGTGTGGTTGTGATTCCTGCTCCCTCTCTCTCTGTGTGTGTGTCAATAAATGTCTCTCTCCCTGTGTGTGTGTGCGTGTTCTTGCCCTTCTCCCTTGCCGCTCTCCTTGTGCGAGAGATGTGTTCTCTCTCCCCGTCTCTCTCTCCCCGTATCTCTCTCCCTCTCTGTGAACCTCTCACTTTGTGTCTCGGATGTGCCGTCCTACATTTATCTCTCCCTTCCTCTGCATGCCTCCTCTGGGTGTCTGTCTCTTTATCTCTCCCCCCTCTCTCTCTCCACCTCTCTCCTCTCTGTGTGCTGCTGCTGCTGCTCTCTTTAACTCTCTCTTTGTTTACGATCAGAGGAAACAAGAAGATGCTCGGTTTAGTCGGCACTTTGCTTCGTTCATCATTTATTTGTTTTTTTCATTGCTTTGCTTTATGTACTGCCCCCCCCCCCCCCCCCCCCATATTTTTTAATGAACGTTTTCCGTGTTTTCCATTTTGAAACAAAATCAATCTGTGCTACTTTCTTCGTATAGACACAAACATCAACACGAAGAAGCACGCTCTGATCCTCCTCCTGAGCTCTTCCCTATCTCTACTACCCGCCTCTCTCTCTATCGCTCCTTGTTATGGGTTTGCTGGTGACTTTGTGTATTTCGTACCAGAATCGCCTCCAGTGCTGTTTGCTGCTGGCGGCAATAAAAGTTGTTTAAAAGTCAAAAGTCTTTCGCTCTCTCTTTCTTTTTATCTCTCTCGCTGTGTTTTCCACTCAAAGTCGACATCTCTTTATTGCTGCCTCTCTCATTCTCTCACTCTCTCTCTTCATCGATGCATGTCTCATCGATGGGTGTCTCGTGTCTTTGTCTGGATCAGGGATGGGCAAGAGACGTCAATACATCGGTGACATCGATACTTTGGTTCCCGATACATCGATCATTTGACGTCAATAGTTTTCGAGCGATCCCTCCGATAAACGTGGGGACGTCGATGATTTGGTTTTCACGCCCTCTCTGAAACAAAAAGCGTCCGTATATTTTTTTCTTTTAATACTCATTAGATGAAAGCAATCCTGTTCCATCTCCAACCATATGTCCTTGGGCGTGTGTGTATATACTTGCACACGATATTGTAAGCAGGTTCAGAGTGAGTATTCTGGACAGGAGGCGTAAGGCTGCGTGCAACAACCAAGCAGCCTTGCACCTTTGTTATAGTTGCATACCAATAGTGCAGCTACACAGACCATTATTACACCCCACACACACACATATTGGTAGAGTAGAATTGAGGTTGAGTGTTGACGGTTTGCAACAATAACAACAACAGCAGCAGCAGTCGCAGCCTCCTTTATCCCATTGTTATCCCTCCACCCCATCAATGAAAGTCGACACAATTCTTAATTCACGACGATACATCATCGAGAGGAGCGTAACTTTCCGTTGACACTGAAACACCAACCACATTGTAACCTTCATATTCTTCTGCCTCTCGATGATATTAGATGTTTTTGTTTGCTATCCTATTATTCATCTTCTTTGTTCTTTCGGTAAAGTCACATAGAAGGTGCTCGCGAACAGCACTTGCCCCAAAAGTTTGCCAAGGCTATACGGAGGATCTTTATTTTGCCTTTCTCTCGCTCTAGATCAATGTGGCTTATCCCGTGTGCATCCCTTCGATCTGCTTCTCTTGTTAATTTCTCTCTTATGATGTTTTGTATCAGTGTAGGTGGTGCCACGGTGGCTAGGAGATGTTAACTACCTCGCCTGCTACACAGGATGTCGTGGGTTCAATTCCGACCCTGATACCTGCTGTGTATTTGGAGTCATCACGTCTCTCTCCCTGTGCTCGCGTGTATTTTTCCCCGGGTCCCCCGGTTTTTCCCTCCACATTTAGAATCAACATCTCGACGCGTTTAGAGAATTTGTCTGATCTAAATGTCCGCATGATGATGATGATAAGCCCGCTTCGTTGGGCTGTCATTTGTGGCCAGGTCGCTTCTGAAAAAAAGCTACATAGTTCAGTGGGCTCTTACCTGGTAAAATAAAAATAAATAAAGTTTAGTTGACTGTGCACACATTACATCAAACTGCACGCAACACACCACCCAGAGCAAGATTTATTCTCATGAGATGTCTCCCGTCTCGCACACACACACACGCGGCCACTAAAATTGACCACACGCGCGTGGCCAAGCCAGATGTTGCAGGCGCGGGACTGCGCTATAGCCAAGCGATGGCGACACAGTTGCAGATTATTGAATCCATTTGTGTGGGGGGGACTATGGGTGCTGGCCTCTCGTGCACGTGGAGGTTGTCCTCCGATCCTTGTCCGTTTCCACTCCGAACGTGGGAAGCCAAACGTTCACGAACTGAAATTCGTGCGGATGAACACCACCACGTGCGTGGCAGGCTCCTCCTGGACAGAAAATAAAAGCGTATCGAAACTCGGTGATGCTTTCCTGGCTAAAATAATTGTCATTGTTATTTGTACGCATGCACGACGCGTAAATCGACAATGTGGAAGATACGGGCTGGTTTTATTTGTCTTTACGGAAGGGGCGAAGGTTACGTGTATTGTGGTCACGAAAATGAATATGAAAATTCAACACCATCAGCAGCATCATCATCATCATCGTCGTCGGCAACATCACCGCCATCTCTGCTAAGAGGTCACGACCACCAGACGAAGCGCAATTAGTTATCCTAATTGCGTCACGCGGAATAAATTGCCAATAACAATCGCAGAGTCGAGCGATTAAACTCGGACGTCACGTCGCATGAATGTAGGTACGTGTGAATTACACTATCACGTGCAGTACTGTGTATTGTATGCAGTAGACGGACACTGTTTTGGGCAGTGAGGACTTCGTTCGAAGACTTCCCACCACCCTAGGCCGAGGAGTTGCGTTGAATTCACGAAGAGCGCTGCATGCAGAAAACAGGATAGAGAGGCACAGAGAGAGAGATGATAGAGATGGACACACACACACTGATAGAGAGTGCCGTACCCATAGAGGCAAACAGGAATATATAAACTTTTAAACTAAACTATTTCAGCTCAACGAATTGGCTCATCATCATCACGTGGAAATTGATAGTAGCAGCCAAATACTCTAAACGCGTATTTATAAATGTGGAGGGAGTGTCGGGGTCGGGACCGGGATCGAACTCACGACCTCCTGTATACCAGGCGAGGTAGTTAACATCTCCTAGCCACCGTGACGGCCCAGTGATGAGTGCACCAATGGCATTTGCGAGCATTAGGTGTCTGTGTGTGTACTGCCACTACGAACCCGACCACCGCCTGAGTTCGATTGCCGGCTAGCGCCAGTACCACGGTGTTATCCGAACCGTTCCTGGGCCTGCCTCCTCCTCATCTGTGTCTAGATCTACTCTGCCTACAATGAATATACTGTGCCTGCATGGTGCGGTATGTCAAGGAACATTAAAGTGGGTTCTCACTCGCTGGCACCAACACTTGGCTCCAACAGTCTGCGCAGGAGGCTGTGCGGGGCTGTGTGTCCGTGTGTGTTTTGATGGGTTGTTTGGGTCATGTAGCCCGCAATTCCCAGCCACCGCATGCCCGGCCACCGCATGCCCCGGCCACCGCATGCCCCGGCCACCGCATGCCCCGGCCACCGCATGCCCCGGCCACCGCATGCCCCGGCCACAGCATGCCCCGGCCACAGCATGCCCCGGCCACAGCATGCCCCGGCCACAGCATGCCCCGGCCACAGCATGCCCCGGCCACAGCATGCCCCGGCCACAGCATGCCCCAGCCACCGCATGCCCCAGCCACCGCATGCCCCAGCCACCGCATGCCCCAGCCACAGCATGCCCCAGCCACCGCATGCCCCAGCCACAGCATGCCCCAGCCACAGCATGCCCCAGCCACAGCATGCCCCAGCCACAGCATGCCCCAGCCACCGCATGCCCCAGCCACAGCATGCCCCAGCCACCGCATGCCCCAGCCACAGCATGCCCCAGCCACCGCATGCCCCAGCCACAGCATGCCCCAGCCACCGCATGCCCCAGCCACAGCATGCCCCAGCCACCGCATGCCCCAGCCACAGCATGCCCCAGCCACAGCATGCCCCAGCCACCGCATGCCCCAGCCACCGCATGCCCCAGCCACCGCATGCCCCAGCCACAGCATGCCCCAGCCACAGCATGCCCCAGCCACCGCATGCCCCAGCCACAGCATGCCCCAGCCACCGCATGCCCCAGCCACAGCATGCCCCAGCCACCGCATGCCCCAGCCACAGCATGCCCCAGCCACCGCATGCCCCAGCCACCGCATGCCCCAGCCACCGCATGCCCCAGCCACAGCATGCCCCAGCCACCGCATGCCCCAGCCACAGCATGCCCCAGCCACAGCATGCCTCAGCCACAGCATGCCCCAGCCACAGCATGCCCCCAAGCAGCTTCTGTTTGGCCGCATAGAGGGAGGCTAAACGGGCACGGCACGGGCTGGAGAAGAGATGGAGCTGATGCGGTACAGGAGGATGTGGAGCTGAGTGGACTTGACGATGACCGGTACCAGCGGTGTCAAGATCGGCCTCTGTGGAGGAGGAGGCTCGTGAAGGACGCT